TGATGTAATCTTTGACTGCCAGTCGCACCGGTTCCAAAGAGAGAAAGAGTGGTGGAACGGAGCTTATTAGGGAAAGACTTTGTCCTGGCTGATGCGGTGTTAGTTTTTTTTTTGGATATCTATTCCATTCAATCAATCAATCAATGTTAATTTATATAGCCCAATATCACAAATGTTACATTTGTCTCGGTGGACTTCACAGTTTGTACAGAATATCAGTATGACAATACGACACCCTCTGTCCTTAGACCCTCACATCGTACAAGGAAACACTTCCAGAGAAAACCCACAGTTTAAAGGGGAGCATGGGAGAAACCTCAGGGAGAGCAACAGAGGAGGGATCCCTCTCCCAGGACGGACAGACGTTCAATAGATGCCGTGTGTAAATCGAAAAGATAATACATTTACAACATAGGTAGACCAAATGTTTGGAAATGCATGTGTCTGTAATAAGAAGATGAATCCACGAGGATGTCAACAATCCTGTGGGAGCCATCAGGGAAGTATTATGATGAGAGTCAGGCAGGACCGCAGAGACAGGTTCAGCCACGACTCGAAGTCCAGGACTCAGGATAGAGGATCCAGGACACAGGACACATGGTTCAGGATCCAGGACACAGACAGGACCGCAGCAACAGGATCAGCCACGACTCAGGATCCCGGCGTAGATAGACACCAAAAAGAAATTTGGGGGAAGCTGGGTTATTGGGAACATGAGAGAACACAGGTACAGACAGAAGGAAGGAAGAAGTAAGGTGTCCCCCGACAGTCTAAGCCTATAGCAGCAAACTAACGTGTCTACGTACATGAACTCCCTTAGGATAGGTTGAGGGAAAAGAGTAGGAACTAAGATGTATGTGTCACATCTATACCATGAGCGCATTGCTCCTAAAAAGTATTTTTGGCACTGACACCAATCAACAGTTGTGCGTCGACTCGGCAGGGATCAAGGCACGTATATATGCCTCTCCCTGCTTCCACCGTCTACACACAACCAAATTACATCCTTACCATCAGTAAGGAAAAAGAGTAAGAACTCAAATGTATAGGTGAAGAGGCACAACGTGTCTACGTCAATGCACTCTTATTAGATTATTTTATCAACTATAAGCTTTGTCAAAAAGAAAGGTCTTAAGCGTACTCTTAAAAATGGATAGGCTGTTTGCCGCCCGAACACAAACTGGAAGCTGATCCCACAAAAGTGGAGCTTGATAAGAAAAGGCTCTGGCTCCCATTGTACTTTTAGAGACTCTAGGAACAACCAACAACCCTGCATTCTTGGAACGCAATGCCCTAGTAGGACAGTAGGGTATAATGAGTTCTTTAAGGTAAGATGGCGCCTGCCCATTAAGGGCTTTGTAGGCGAGAAGAAGAATTTTAAATTCTATCCTGTGTTCTATAGGGAGCCAGTGTAAGGCAGCCAGAACAGGAGTAATGTGGTCACTTTTCCTAACTCTGGTTAGTACACGAGCTGCAGCATTTTGAATCAGCTGAAGCGACTTGACTGACTTCTTGGTACACCCTGATAATGAGTTACAATAATCCAGCCTTGAAGCAACAAATGCATGGACTAGTTTCTCTGCATCGTGTTGAGGAAAGATATGCCTACAATAACACTTTGGTTCAACATATCTGGTAAAAACTCCCCAATTGTTGTGATACATGTTGCAATTACCTTGAATTTGTACATTGTACATGCCAGCAGGGCAGGACTCAAACCCCTGTGGTAAAAGTCAGGCTGTATGGGTTAAAAAAACAAACATTGTACAGCAGGAGGAGGAGTTTCCCCTCCCCTCGGAAGAGGAAGTATTAAATACGCAGTTTACCTGGAGAGGCTGCAGACGGTGAGCATATTTAGGAATATTCACCTTCACACATTTTGAGGGGGCACAAAACAGTCCTAGACATTAAATTACTTATGATATATTAGGAAGAAAGGACACTTATTTACCGCTGATCAAATTGCATCTAGGTTGCATAGTTACAAATGTACTTCTGTTTTTCCCAATAGGCCTTGAACAGTATCAATACCTGTACCTGTTTCCACTTGTGCATTGAATCCATTTCCTTCATATGAAGTCAAGCATTTGTTTGTTTTTAATTATATGCATGGATGAGAAATAGAGAACTGAGGAGAAAGTAAACCAATAGCAGGAAAGACAATAAATAGCCCAACCCCAGGAAAAAAACATTTTGACATGTGTGTGAGTTTCTTTCTTTACACACTAGGAGACGCCAGAGATCAGTACACCTCTTAAAGAAGTATCTCAAATGTGCATCTATGTTTGACAGTTACCTATACAGAAAACTCCTCTTTCCAACACCAAATGATTGGCTGCAGATCTGACAAAGAACATATTAACCACAGCAGGGAGCTTCTCTGTGTCAGTCCAACAGTGCATTAACCCCTTGTTACAAACGCTTGTCCGAAGGTCATTTAAACACTGTCCAACTACTGGACAGAGTCCCTGCATGAAAATGGACATTGCAACAGTAAATGCTCTCCCTTATGAGGATTTTGTGGATATTCTGGGCAACGTGGTGGAGAAGTGTCCCATAATAACAGCTGCTGTGTGGTCGGGGCGTCCCTTCCTGAGCCTGGCTGCTTTGGAGGCTGCAATCAGTGAATTCATCGATGCTCTCCCAGAATCAGGTGAGATACAGACGTAAACAAATATGGGACTTTTTTACATGTTAAGTTTGTGTCGCCGCATTTGAGGTTGTTTGCCCTTAAATGTGTTTAACTCTTAGTGCAATGACACTTAGACACAGCGTGTGAACGCTGTTTTAATTATATTTACTTGAGTACATGTAGCCTACCTCAGTACAATTTTAAGTTACTTTACCTCACAATACAAATGTTATCCTTCCTCATATGTATACTCAACAGTTTTTGGAGCTGATATTGTACTTTTTACAACATTACATTTACCTGACGGGTTTATAGATTTAGATTATAGTTAATACAAAATATGAATCAACCACTAAATTAGCTATGATATGATATACTGTATTAGGTTCAGAAATCCAGCAGTAGAGAGTAATCAACTTTACCAGCCGTGATGAACATATCAATGATCATAATCTAGTAATTTATGTGATTCTGAAATGGGCCATAATAAATAATGAGTATGGTTACTTTTATTTATGCTATTATGAAGCCAAAAACGTTTTGTACTTTTACTTCAGCAAGATTGTGAACGCAGGACTTGTAACAGAGTATTTTAAGAATGTAGTTTTGCTTTTGTAAATGATCAGAGTACCTCCACCTGTGTGTCCAGGTAAAGAGGGGATCCTCAGGTGTCACCCAGATCTCGCGGGAAGAGACCTCCAGAGCGGCTCGTTGACCCGGGAGTCCCGCGAGGAGCAGGCAGGGTCCGGGATGGGTGCTCTGAACTCGGGGGAAGCCTCGCGCATGGCCCGGCTCAACCAGGAGTACAAGGAGCGCTTCGGGTTCCCGTTTGTGATCTGCGCCCGGATGCACGACAAGGAGAACATTTTACGAGAGTTGTCCGCGCGGTGCCAGAACGAGCGTGCGGTGGAGAGGGCGCGCGGCATCGAGGAGGTGAAGAAGATATGTCACCTGCGTCTGCAAAGCCTCGTGCTCACTGACAACATGTTATGAACTTTAACTGGAGTTTATATTGGATTAGTGCCAGTGTGACCCGGATGTAAAGACTGCCATTGTTCTCACGCCTGATAGGCTTTGTGATAACTTTATTCCAAATGTGTGTTAATCATACTGTACAATGAATTCTTTAAACAATAACATATGTGCACCGTTGATTCTAATTTATCAATTTACATTATATAACCTATATACAAGTGGATAATATGGCAAATACAGTCATATTACGCATATATACATTAATAAACTCAATGTATAAACTCACATGTTTGAGGTGTAACATTTGAATCGACCATTTTACAGTTTGTGCATGCTGAATGCTGTTGCCTGTTGAAGGGGAAATAAATGTAGTCCTTGCATGTGGTTGTCTCAGCATGCACCGTGGTTCCCAAAACTGAAAGAAATGTACATTGATAGACCAAAAGGAGGTGAAGTTAAGGGGTCCTGAAAAATTGGCACTTAATTTAAATGACTTTACTCTAATTGAGACTTTAAGGCTTCACTCACAATTATGAATATTGTATTCCTAATAATATAAAAACCTCTCAAATTCTTGTTAGGTTTACATTGAAACACATTCAAATGTCCCAGTAGGCTAAGTCTTTTAGGCTTTACTCTCATTTGGGATTCTTATATTCCTAAAATCAAATTGCATACCTAAAAATCTGTATTTGAAGACTTCCATTGAAACAAATTGAAACGTCCCTGCGGTATGAGTTAGAGTCTATGCAGTCTCTCTGGCTCCAGCTGCGGGGATGGAGTGACCGTGCAGCGGGGAAACAGGAGGGGAGGTGGGGGGAGGTCCGGTGGTGGAGGTGAGCCCCCCGGTGGAGGTGGTGAGCCCCCCCGCGGTGTCCCCCTGGTCCCCGGAGGTGATGGAGGAGTCCTGGTCCGGGTCGGTCCCCCTCCCCCTCCTGCGGTCCTCCTCTTTCTTCCACTTCATGCGCCGGTTCTGGAACCAGATCTTGATGTGTCTCTCCGTGAGGCTGAGGTTCAGCGCCAGCTCCACGCGCCGCGGCCTCGAGATGTACCTGTTGAACAGGAACTCCTTCTCGAGCTCCAGCAGCTGGGCGCGCGTATAGGCAGTCCTTGTGCGTTTGTTTTCCTCTGATTCCGCCATCACGTATGGTCCTGGAGACAAATGGAGATTAGTGTCATTACATTACATTGATTGAGTGTCCTTATGATAACACGTTTGGAATCAGCTAATTATAGGCCTGTGTAGGGTCCCATTTCCTTAAATAAGTGTAATTAAACATTACAAAAAACGTAATCCACACACCATTGTATTCAAGAATTACAAATAGTTTGGGCTTTAAAATAATAACTTTTTAAAACTTTGTATTTTTCTCTGTTGCATGACAGGGAATAATATGTAATTCGTTTCTCAGAGGCACTTAATTATAACTTGTTTGGAGTAGATCTCAATTAATGTCATTGTAATTAGTCATATGTCATTATATCTTGCACAAGTTAACATCATTTCTAACAGGCAAAGAAAACCAAGTGTAAAATTGTCTTCTGATTGCCTTTAAATATAAATGTATTCACTTGTAAAGTTACAAGGCATTCACAATAACCAGACATAATAGTAATTTCTTAATCCGAGTTGAAATTTGGGAATAACAGGTGATTTGTGGACACGCTAACGCTGTTCAACCACAGGGTCATGTATTGCTTTTAAATCACAACATTTAATAAATATTTCCAAACGATGTGGTAAATTATTGGTATTTTATTGGTATAAAAACATATGTACAACATATGATTCAGTTTAACTTTAATTTTGAAGTTAGTCGTTTTAGTCCTCAGTTTAATAATGCAGAATTGTATTTGATTGGATTATTTTGCCTGTCCAAACCTAAAATGAATAGTGCATATTAAACAATTACAAATATAATCAATGTCTTTTTGTGACGATTAAAATGTAAAGTTAAATTGAGAATATGAGCAGTGAGATGCAATAAACTATGTAACTTTAATTGAGCATTTTTGGGGAATATACCATTGCGCGTATAAATGCCGATTTGTAGAGGCACACATGATATCTTAAATCCTTTACTTTAAAGCCTTCCGGTTATTTATAAAAAGTCAGCCTTAAGAATTCCTTCAGATTCATCTTGTCTTTTAAAAGCGTGCAGGAATTAATTGACACATGTTCGTTACTCTACAATTTACAATCACAACAACTGTGCGTAAAATAAACCAAAAATACGCAACGTCACAGAGAAGTCCGTATAGGGACTATGAATAAATGACCAAATTAATAGCCTACATTTGTATTTTAAATGTCCATTGATATGAAAAAAAGACAGAGAACTTTATAGATATATATATATTGTAACTGAAGAGACAGAGAGGAACAGATATACATTCTCCTCACGTTTCTCTGGAGAAAACAGGCTTATCAGAAAACAAACTTATGATTCTTATAATAAGGATTATGATTGAATCCAAAAGCATCACAGTAAAAGAGAAAAACATGATTTAATAAATGATAATTTAATTTAAACTTGTAAAACTTTACTCAAGCCGGACAGGTTAGATCAAACCCGATGTTGGTATTTAGGTGTTTTAACGGCCTATTATACTCTATAGTAGCCTAAACAGCCTATTGATAAGATTTGTGAATATGTTTTGTAAAGACAAACCCCCACATTTACGATAAGACCTGATAAAAGCAAGCGCTGACCTTCCGGGCCTTTTACACTTTGACTGACAAGGTAAACTGTAACACCCAGGAGCATATTGTTGGGAGCGTGATGTCACTGCGGGCCTGAGAAACACCGACTGAGTGCTATGACTACAGAGGGATGTAAATAAGACTGTATTCTGAATTAAGCTGAGGAGAAACTGATTCCCATTATGATCATGATGAATACAAGTTAGAGTTAGCTGTCCCGTCCAGGTGTTCTCAAGGAATTATAGGGTTTAAAACCACAAAATTCATTCAATGTTTCCAGATTGTGCGTTTATTTTTGGTTTGGTATTATTATTTAATTTGGCATTTTAGTCGTGTGTCATCTGCTAATCAATTCCGAACAATAAAAAGACACAAGTGCATAGGAAACAATGACAAATATTGGTCCATCACATGTCTCTGTGTTGTAAGATAAACTTCAGCTACTTGTTTAACTAAACTATGCAACTTTATTTGAGCATGTTTCGGGAACACAAGGCTTAAAAACTGATTTGTATAAAAGCGTTACCTGCCCACTGCCCCTTCCAGGTGTGCGAGTGAGACTTGGTGCTTTTCATCCAGGGGAAAGGCAGGTGATATCTGGTCTGGTCCCCCGTGTCTCCATAGCCTGCAGCCGGCTGGAGAGGCTGCTGCTGGAGCCCCGGGTGTTGGTGGTGCAGCTGAGTCAAACCTGGGTCCTCCCGCATGGGGAGACTGTAAGAGGCCGAGATGTCAGGAAGGCTGGCCGTCTCCAAGGCTCCCATGGCCGGCGGAGTGTAGACGGAGTGCCGGCTCATGTAGAGGCACGGCGGCGGGCTGTGGCTGTAGTCCTCCGCCTGAGATCTCTGGTAGGCACAGGAGTCTTTAAAAACCTGGGAAGGGTAGTAATGATCTTCCCGATTCATGGCTTCCGAGGTCCCGCACATGTACAGTACCTGCGCCTTTCTGCTCCACCTGAAAGTGGCGCAACTGCGGGCCCCGGGCGGCTCCACACAGGTGAGTCACTTTGACACCATGTGACTCTGCAGCGACCAGGCCATTGGCTTCACTGTTTGCAGACCTGAGAGAGCCCAGTTTCCAGGATCTTCTGCAGCCTGTGGGATTTTCAGTAAATCAATGGCACTCTGTAAATACCTGGCACCCACCTGTGTTTGGAGACAGGTGAATCTGAGAAATGTTTATAGAGGTCTGGCATAAACACGCTTCGCTTGCAGGACTGTCCTCAAACAATACGCCATCGACACTTTATATGGATGTCCACTGTCTGCACTGCATAAATCGATATGTATGGGCGCAAACATTGGCAGACCTGCCAGATAAGAGACCTGGATGGAGGGACAGTTGTCTTGGAAACTCTGGTGAAACGCTCAAACAACATACAGCCTTTTGGTTTCATTTGTCTACACCTTTCTGAGTTTAAGATGTACCCAATGCATCATTTAACACCATTTAGAAAGGCCGGGCCCTGCACGAAGGACCCTCAGAGTTAACAAACACAGGGTTGCACTCTTGCCATGTTTGCTAGCCATTAGCCTTTAGCAGGTGTGTGTTCGCCCCATTAAACAGCCGCTCTCCTGGTTAACCAATTAAGGTTGGAGTGAGCAACAGAACTCAATTAACCTGCACAGTGACCCCACAACCTGGCAAACTCACCTGTGCGTTTATGCAACATTTCTAGCCACGTGATCAGAGTGATTTACCTGGTTTTCATGAAAATTACCCCGGCTTTTACCGTGATAGTGTGTATCAAAGGTCTATTTGCACTGAGTTCTTCAAAAGCAATTATGGCACTTTCCACCGTATCTTAATGGGGCACTCAGCGATGCAATAAAGTTCAAGTAAACCAATTCTATACAAATCACCCCCTGCACTATGCCTTAATGGTGTTTATATTTGATCATTGTTCTAAAGAGGAAGGAAACAGTTAACCCGAGCTGCTCTCCACTACACTGGAGGTGGACAATGTGATTTATGAAGCATGAGGATGTTAAACGCATGTTAGTTGACTTTTTCCAGACACAGAATTCGGAGTAATGGCTTTAGCGAGGAGTAATGCAGCTTACATGTAGATATAAGAATGGCGGTTGCCTAGCTTATAAAACGCTGTTATAAAAGCACATGGAGACACGCCATAGGGAAGATACAAACAGCATCTCTTTCAAGCTTGAGTTCATGTCCATCTGCTGTCCTGAAACCGCAGTGACCCCACTCAAACACATGGACGCTTAATCGCTGGATTATTAGTGTTATAGTAAAGTTATCGTTATTACAGCTTTATTAAATCACTATTAATCCACCGCTTGTTCAACAGGACACATGTAGGAGTGTCAGGAAAACACAACTTCTTTTCTCCTTTGACAAACAAAACCGTTTCTGATAGCCGGTGTCAACATGTCCAGAAAGTTTGACATGCGATAAAAATGTGCTTACCCAGTGGCGACAGCGGCACGGCTTATGTAAACATTATGACCTGTGGATAATGACAGAAGAATGGTAATGACATTATAATAGAAATCAAACGTCCCCGGCTGTAGGTGAAACGCAGTAACACCAAACTATGAGTCATGTGAGCAGGGAGGGAAAGAAACTGTTCTGTGAAAAGTGCTGGGCGGTAACGGCCTCTTGATATTTTATTAACTCTTTTTTTGTGGAAAATCTGGGGTGGAAGGACAGTAAAACGATATGTTGCTGGCTTTATGAGTCATCAATTTAACCTCATGAACTACAAAATGGTTAATTTTGAAAGTGAACAGTAACAAGAGAACATTTTCCATCGGCAGGAATACAAATTCAAGTCTCTTCAAACGGGTAAACAGAGATCTTTTGGTCTGCCAGCAGCTCTGAGGTGTTCAGTGTTCACCTTTCTGGAGTTAGTGTCAAATCACAGTCTTTACTCATGAAGCCTGTCTTTGTCTCTGTTGTGTCCGTCCCTCCCGTGTCTCTGGTCCCTGTTGTCTTTGTGGCTCCTCTCTTTGTCTCGATCTTGCTTCTTCTCTTTGTGATGGTGTGTATGGTCTGTGCGATGGTGGTCTCTGGGAGGCGTTCTGCTGCGGCGGCGGCTCCTCTCCGGGGACTTGCTTCTCGTCCTCGAGTGTCCGTCCCGTGAGTCTCCGCTGCGCCGCTGAAGGTTGGTGGAGCGCAGCGTGTTGAGCAGGAAGCGCTTGTTGGTGCTTCTCAGGGGACACTTTAACCTGAAGGACAGGACAGACAACCTTTAAAACTCTCATTTACCTTTGATACTGAGGATGGCTGGCTACTAGAGAGCATAATGTATTTTCATTCAAAAGGCCCTGCTTACTAAGATGCTGTACCCGGAGATTTATATTTTTAGTAGAATTTACAGCTTATAACCAAATCACAATCATTTAAAACTCTCAGGATTGCAGCTATAACTAAACACTGAGGTCATGACAGTTTTTTTGTACAGGTTAGTTCCATTTTTAAAGTATATTACAAGTTGATTTCTTTCATGTCAAAACATGGTTAATTCAGAATATGCCCACTATTTTATTAATTTTAGGCTTTGAATTATATACTTCTTTGTGGTATTTCATGCCGCTGAGAATAAAAAATAAAATAGTGTAGTGATGAAAATAAAATAGGAATCCTGGCTAAATCTCTGCAAATACCAACCCCACTGTTTTTCAATAATACACCGTGTATTTTTTAAATATTACAAAACATATCTGGGATCTGTTGATTTCTCAACTCAAATTTTTATTACGATCTTCAACCATTTTAACACATATCGCCTATTGTCCTCCTATTGTGCAGCCCTATCATATTATAAGAATATTTCTATGTAGCATGTAGTTGTAGTGTTATAATCACAGACCCTGGTGAGAGTATTCTGTGCAACAGCAGCCACTTGAGGTCGTAAACAAACAAACTAGTAGAGAATAAAGCATAGAAACACGACAGATTGCACTGAATCTTAACACAAGGAAGAAAATGGCCTCGGTGCGAGCACAGCTGAGCAGCAGGCACATGTCCACCATGACAGCTGATGCAGATGGCATGTCAGACATATCACTCACCATCCTGCGGGGCCCATGGTCTCTGCTCTCACTCGCGCTCTGTCCGTCTCCTTCAGAAGCTCCTCCACCGCACGCCTGCACACGACACCACATGGAGAGAGGACACAGACGTGGAGTTAAGTAACTAAGTACATTTACTCAAGGACAATTGTGAGATATTAGTACTTTACTTGAGATTGTTTTGCTTCTTTGTACTTCTTCCCCACTAGAATTCAGAGGTAAATCGTGTACTTTACACTTATTATATTTATTTACCTTAGAATAAGAAGAGGTACCAGAGAGTGTAGGAATACTCAGTTACAAGTAAAAGTCCTGCATTCAAAATGTTACTCAAGTAAAAGTACAAAAGTATTAGCATCAAAATATACTTAGAGTACAAAAAGTAGAAATACTCAATTTCCAGTATGTCTCATATCAGATAAAAAAATATAACATGTTTGTATTATAATTATTACTAATGCACGAATGTCAATTGGTAAAGGTGGGTTTATTTAAATGAATTAAATCAGACTTTAGTTAAATCCCCAAGCTACCCTGCGGTATACAAAGTCATTCAAACTAGCTGCACCTTTACCAGCTTTGATAACACTTTAATGATCAATCATTATAAAACATATCATAGATATTATTCTGAAATGGACCAATCTGCACAATGAATACTTTTACGTTTGGTATTTTGATGGTAATACTTCTGTACTTTTACTTCATTAACTTTTTGAATGCTGGGCTTGTACTGGTAACATACACTGAGGTACTTCTACTTTTACTTAAGTACAAGATCTGAGTACTTCTCCCACCTCTTTTGAGGACACAGATAGCACAAACCCTCACGGGGGAGCCAAGGAGAGGATGATTTAATTAAGCGAGAGAAAGCGGAGAGATACAGAGGAAAAAGTGAGTCGTTAGTGTCCTGGTTTGACCCGAGCAGCTGAATCAGCATCAGGAGAGGAGAACCACTCGTTTATCCGACCTTTGACCACAGAACAGGCGGCTAATAACTGGGAAATAGTGGCTGGGTTTCATTACAACCACTCTCGTCTTACACAGGAAATACAAACAGCTGTGGACCAGAAATATCCCCTTCCTAACTGGTGGAGGAGTGCTAAGGTTTAAAAAAGACTAGCTAGAAACGTAACCAGCCGTTAGCAGAAGATAAGCAATAAAGTAGTTCCTCACTTTTCCAGTTCGTTGTCCTCTGCCATCGCGTCCTTGTAACTCACACGCTGTAATAAAGTTAATTGGATTAAAATCGATGTTATCTTAATTAACGCTAGCAACCATTTCTGTTTACTTCGCCGCGAGGTCCTTCAACCAAGGACCCGTGTTTTTAGATGTTCTTAGAGATGCCTGATAGTAAAGCAACTTTCAATCTTTTTGTGACATTAAACCTAGACACAACGATCTTTCTATTTTTTTTATCCATATATCTTCATCTAGAAAAGGAGCAATAGCAATGCACATCATCTGATACCAGTGGTGAATAACATGGAGAACTGAATTGATAGTTTATGAGCCATTATTAGTTGTTTCCTAACATCCATATCTACAGATTAATCTCGAATCAGCGTCTTAGTCTTAATTTGCTAATTTGAATTAAATGCTACAAACATTAAGTCAACATTAAAATCCATACTTTCACATTACGGATATTAAGAAGAAGTGAGGGAGGGTTTTCTCTTTTTTTTATTTCGAGCAGGCTCTTTGGAAGCCACCTCTGATTCTGCTCTGGATTGACAGCCACAAGCCCCGCCCACTCCCGTTGAGTGACAGCAGTGGGCGGAGTCAGCGCCTCCAAAGGAACGGGGGCGTTTTCGTGCGGGTTTGCGGAACGGGCCGTTGCGGCGAATGCGTGAGTGAGGTCCTAACAATCGTCCCCCTTTTTGGGGACGGAGAGCACGGCGCGGAGGAGAAGCAGCCGGAGAAGGTAACATGACATATGTTCATATTCCGTCCTGCAGGAGAAGGTGTCAGTGTGTGCATGGCTCTGCATTCAGAGTGCCATTGTCGCTTCATCTGTCCTCGCTTCTCCTGCTGCTGGAGGGTGAGATGGAGTCCGACAGATGGGGGCAATGATTACAAAATGTCTAATTAAATGTTTTAACGGGATACTTATAGACCATGACACTTCAAATGTAGTGTTGCCATGCTAAATTGGAATTATGACAGTGAAAACATTCTGATAATTGTCATTTAAATCGGTGTCCGTTTTTTGTTGTTATCATTGCATGTCTGACTGTTTAGCTTATTGCAAACGGACCTCGCAGAGCAGCAGCAGCAGGCCTGCTCTTGCAAGTGGCTATCAGCCTTTCTAGATTCAGTTTTAAGATAAGGGACGATGAGATGGGGTTTATGGAAATGTAGGCTAAGCCGGCTGGACCAGAGTTTTTTTTAAATCTGTGGCCTAAAACATCATCTCATCTTGTTTGAAAATGACATTCCTGCAAGCGAGGTTGTTCATGGCTTGCTCTGGGTTGTAAGATTAAATTGTCATCTCTGGAAAAAAATGAAAAACGAGCAGAGACAGGTGCAGGGCCAAGACTGTTATTAATATAGAGAAAGCAGTGCAATGACAATAACAGCATGGCCTTGGACTCTCTCCGACTCTCAGTGGGATTCAAAGGGCGATATTTCACTTGCATTTGATAGTGTTCATATGAATTGCGTCAAAGAGTCTTGTGCTACTATGTTTAAAATAGATTTAAGTGCTTTTCATGGCAGGGGCTCTTAACAGCTGCCCCAGTGAAAACCTGAAGATGTTACTTATTGATAAAGACTATTTGCAGGACCCAAAAAGCTCTAGTGAAGGATGTGTTTTTGCTTCTTGCCTGTGAAGACTTCTTCTTGCATGTCTACAAGTCCGTGTGTGTGATGTGGTGATGTCACAGCTTTGTTACAGGAACAGAGAAGCCTTGTGTCCTCATGATTAATTCATGTCCAGCTGCGGGATAGAGACAGAAGCAGCCAGTCACACACAGACAGGAGCACGTACTTAAAGGACGCTGAAATAAGTACCGGTCCGGTAGCCAAGGAGACAGGGGAGACAGGTCGTCACAGAAATGGGTATAGCCAGGGAAACAAACAAAAAAGCAGCTAAATATGAATCAAGGGATGCTCTCATCATGATGGAGGCTGCAGAGCGTCCTGCTGAGAGGAATCAGAATCAGGTTTAAAGTAGCTTCACATACAAGGAATTGGCCTTGGTGGATGTGGTGCACACAGTTAAAGAAGATACATCGGAGTATAATATGACAAAATCCTCAGAATAATCAAATAAAACATGTGCAGTATTGTTATGGAAGGTGGAAAGGTGTTCAGATATTAAGATGATACTTTATTAATCCCAATTCATTTTGTGAAAGCAGCAGTGTGTTTAGGCAACATATTTAAAAGGTGGAACATATACACATAGGATAGTATAAAGAGCTAGCTTTGTGTACAATGTTCGGAGGGTTGTTCAGGACTGACGGTACTTAGATGAATGAATAAAAACAGACATTGTTTGCACGGCGGTGGGGGGTGTGTAGCAGATGGGGAGAAAATGCATCTGTTGTGCGTCTCTTCTGCATCCTTTTCCTCGGCTACACTCTGAATGTCAAGCCCCACTGAGCAGAACAGGCTCCAGGTCGTCATGGAGACAAGAGCAGACCCCCGCTGCAAACAGAGGCAGGTAGTCAGTGTGTCTTGGCCTGCTGCGAGCCGAGGAACGCCCTCTGCTGTCCACCCATTGCATCAGACCCACAGGGGGGGGGGCGGGG